TCCTCACACACCTGCGCCAAGAGCCAATGTTCACCACATAGGGATGTATCACTTCATTGGGAACATGGGGTGTCCCAATTTTGGCATTACTGATATTGGGGGCTAGATAATCCTTTGTCCTAGGTGGCAGTCCTAGATAACAGCAATTGCAGAAGACCTGGCCTCTAGCCACTAGATACCAGTAGCATGACAGGGCAACTCTCTCCTGACAACTAAATGTCTTCAGTCACTGCCACATGCCCCTGATGGGATGGAGGCAGACAGGAAAGAGTCCCCAGGTGAGGACTTCTGCTCTAAACCCACTAGTATCCTTGCACAAGCCACCAGCACCCCATGGTCCAAACATGAAGGACATTCAGGTTTACCTATGCTCAGCCTTCCTTGCATTATTCCTCAGACTCCTCAGAATAAGACTTTGAAAACAGCTTTCTCTCTGGCCCATTTCAGAGATGGGGAAGTTGAGGCCCAGAAAGGGGAAGGGACTTGGTCAGGGTCATCCAGCTCAAAAGGAGCAGAGCTGGATTATGAGGGCAGTTGTCTGGCTCTAGAGACTGAGATTTAGCCACTAGGCTACACAAGTTTAGTTACCTTCCAGCCCAGCAACCTTCCTCTCGTCTTAGAAGTCATATGTAAACTGAGGCCTTAATGCTGACCATGACCTATAGGACCTATGAGGCCTGTGAGGACCTATAGGAACAGCCTGTTACGGCCAGCCCTGCTTCGTTTCCTGCCATTCACCCCTTGCTCACTCTGCTCCTGTCACACTTGCCTCTCCACTTTTCCTCAAGCATACTGGACACACTCTGACCACAGGACTTTCGCACAGCCTATTCCATCTGCACACACACCCTCAGACAGCTACAAAACCTCCTTTCTTGCTTCACTTGGGTCTCTGCTCAGATGTCACCTTCTCAGAGAGGGCTTCCCTGACACCAGATTCTCTGTTCTTTATATCCCATGTGTCCCATCTGGAATCACCACACACTCATCCACTAGTCTGGGACCTCCAGGATGGTGAGGACTGGTCTATCTCATTCTAAACCAGAGCCCTGATCAATGTTTGTGGAACCAATGGCCCTGTTATAGACAGGGAAACTGAGGATAAGAAGTGAAATTCATTCTCAAGGTCACATAGTAAATGAAGGGCAAAGGCTGGATTTGAGCTCTCAGGAGTGAAAATGGTGGGCTCAGAGGTACTGCTCCAAAAGCAGAAAACACCCAACTTCTGTCCTCACCTGCCATTCTGCAGGTCCACCAGACCCAAAGTCCTAATTTTGTGCAGTTTCCGGGGGCTTACAATCAATCTGTTATTGATAAAAGAGGGCATACTGCGCAGCCTGGCAGGGTTTGAGTTTTGGGGGAGGCCCTCTTTTTCTCTGCTGAGGTAATTTTGAGGAAGTGCATATCTCTAAACACTAGCTCTGGGCGGCCCAGCACCACCAGCAGCTTTACCACAGAGTTGGGGTGATTTGTACTTATTCAGCCTGGATTACCAAGAAGAAAGTGAGGTGCAAGGAAAAGATGGCTGGCCACAGGTCACACAGCCAGAGAGCTGGCTGGGCTACAATCTGAATCTCCCCCACAGGTCTGAGTAAATCTGGCATCCAACCCCAGTGCTGACCTTCCTCACTGTGTGACCTTGGACAAGTCAACTATCTCCGTTTCCTCGGCAGGAATAGAAAGTGGAAAGTCAGAGACGCTGGGTGTTAAAAGGCAGCTTGATGTTGGGAAGCTCTGTCTTGCTGGGCATCGGCATGGGCAAAAGAGCGGAGGCAAGCCGGGAAATCTGCGTCCGCAACTTTGACGCCAAGTTCCTCTCCCTCCACCCAGCGGCCGTCTCCACCGCTCGACCGACCCGGGGTGGAGGATGGGGGTAGTAGCAACCTGGTCCCGGCCCAGGGAGGGCGGGGGCCTCACCCTCAGCCTGCGGTCGGCCGGCCCGGCGCCCGCTCTCCGGAGCGCTCAATAAGCATGAAATAATAATACCGGGCGCCGCGGCAGTGGCGGCGGCAGCGACTTTGGCTTGGGGACTAGAATCCCAGCAGGAGGTCGGGACTCAGCGCGCACTCCACGGTTGCCTTTCTAGTCACCCAGCAGAGGGCGTGTGGAACCAGGGGCGCGCACTGAGACTCGCTTCCAAGCACACCCAGGATAAGAGAGCGCAAGAGACATCCGGAGGTGAGGACCCAAGTAGAGACCAGACCACCCACCAGGGAGAGACCCCCACTTTCTCTCTCCTGGGGCCATGCAGTGAAAAGTTTGGGGAACCAAACGGAGAGGGATTGATACACTGCCCACCCCCAATTCAGGTAAGCTCCCCAACTCACACCAGAGTCCTTTTTACATTCCACTTTGTGGCTCTGTCTTAGAGGTGCTATGACTCAGCCCTGCCAGGCATCAGAAGCACCAGCTCGTGCATTCCTAGGTCTTCAGGGCTGTGAGTCCTATTTTGGATGGGAGCAGTACCCTCTTTCTTGAGGTTCTTGTGACTTGAGTCTGGAGGGTTCTCTGGATCCCCTTTTTGGTTGCTGGATGAACTCCAACATAGGGGAGCACTGGAATGCACCATGTGCACACTAGTAGAAGTGCCAGTTGGGGGAACAGAGCTGGCAGAATGCTCATTCTAAGGAGCAAGGTCCCCACGGAGGCATCTCATTTCCCTCTTCCTCCTTCTTCCTGGGGGTTGGAGAGGGACACTGGCACTAACACCACAGCCACAGGAGGCTACACTGGCCCACAGTGAAACAGAAACTTGAGTCCTTGCGAAGATGTGGCTGAACTTCCTGTTTTCTCTTCCTACCCAGGAGCTCCTCTCCCTAGTCTGGGCCCTCAGTGATATAGCTAGTGAGCTCTCACTGTATTAAGTCCTTACACACACTCCCAATCTTACGAAGCTCTCAAAGACCCCACAGGGCAGTCCCAACAACAGTCTCACTTCACAGATGGGTAAATGGACGCTCAGAGGGGTTAAGACACATGTGTAAGGACACCCCGGCATCAGACAGAGTCCTGGGTTGGAATCTCAGCTTTGCCATTTCTTGGTTGTGTGAGCTTGGGCAAGAAGGGAGTTTGCCACTGTGGACCTCAACATTTTTATCTGTCCAAAGAAATACCTTATGGGACACTGGAGATGAGGATGTATGGAAAGATCCTCAGCCTAGAGTCCATGATGAGCCCCTATAAGATAGATACCACTAAAATAACAATAATGACAACCACTCGGCCACTGTCTCCCAAAACACAGAGCCTCAGGTAGGTGGATTCGTTGGGGGCCCTAAAAGGGAATAAGATCCATTTTCTACTGTACCCCACCCCCATCTCAGTCTCTCAGGACAGTGACTTGAGCTAGTTTGGCAAGCTGCCCCAGGTCTTGGCATTTCCTGTTGATTCCAGCTTTGTTTTCCTTTAGCTTCTCTCCAATTCCCTTTGGGAAATAGTAGAGTGTGTATGCTGAGCTCATGACACTAGCTTCCTGGTGGAGGAAGGGGTACTAAGGCTGGCTGTACCCTAAACTGAGGTGAAGGTGGTCTGGGCGGCTATTGTGTCTGCTCTGCTTGAAGTGCCAGAGACCTAGAATGGAAAGGTGACAGCCTACTGTGACCTTAAGGCTCCCAAGAGGCTCTCTTGGGGACTCCAGGAGAGGCTGGAATCCAATTATCTTAGTGATGTCCCAAGCACAGGGGCACCCATGGGTGTAAGGCAAAGCACACAGTCAAAACTGTCACATATCACCAGAGTACACCTAGTCAGGCCCTTGAGCACCATGGGAACGCCAGGTGGTTAGAAGAAAGCATACCGGGCTGGCAGAAGCACATCTTAAAAGTCACAGCATTAACTCTGGGACACAAGGCACACAGGCAGCTGAGAGCATGTCATAGGGTCTCAGTCAGTGTCCTAAGGAGCACATTTCTGTAGACACAATCACACTGTGCTCAGGAGTGTACACATCACAGTGCAACAATCACTGCATGCATGCCAAGAATGCACACTGTCACAGTCGCTGTTCTAGGAACACAAGGAGTTTACCCTGCCATAATCACTGTTCTTGGAACACACCCAGTCACTGTCACAATCAAGCACACATAGTAACACAAGCACAATGTCCTGACAGAAAGCCCTAGTGTCACAGTCACAGCATTTCAGGAGCAAACACAGTAGTAATGCCACAGCCACTGTTCTGGGAGCATACAGTCACCACATCACAACTACACTGTTCTGGGCACACACAGTCCTACTGTCACAATCAGGTCCCCTGAAATCAACAGAGAGTAGAGTACATAAGCAAGGCACAGCTGAAGTGAATTCAGGTCCAGAAGATATCCCAGTGGCCTGACACCATCCCAGTGGCCTGATACACTGAAGACTGTCACCTCAGAAGAGCAGGGACTCCCTCACCTTGCACTGGGATTGGCACATCTCTCTCTCCCGGCAACGACTAAACCCCTAACACTCCTACCCAGAGTGGGGGACTCCAATCCAAAACAAAAGCCCCTAACACAGTGTTCCTCCAAGAGCTCCCTCTGGATTTCTGACAACAGCTGCTGCAGGAGGAGTCCTCCAACCCCTAGAAAGACCAGAGAACCACAAAACAATGTGATCCCAGCAGATGGCCCCCTAGACATTCCCAAACACAGTGAATCTAGCCCCCAGTACAATGCTACCAGCAAAGTCCCCTAAGTGAAACCCAGCTTAGCCATTGTCCTACCCTGCCACCAACTAAGGATATATACCCCGACGCTGCAGCCCTCAACCCAATCTACACACGCACCATGGCGCCCCCTAAATTGACCCAAGAATCAGCTCCAGTAGGAAGCTTCTGGTACTGTGCACCGCAAGCAGCCCGTCCCGGACGCCCCCGCGGTCGAATTCCCCCCAACCCCCACCCCCGCCAGTCACACTGACCCCACCCGCATCACAGCGCCCCCTGCAGTTAGCAGGGCGAGTGGCATCCTCCCAGCGCGCCTATCCTCTCCGCGCGCGTCCACCGCCAGCAGTCTTACCGCCTGCAGCTGCCTCCGCCCGCGCCGCCGCTGCCATGGAAGGACGAGGGCCAAGACATGCGGGACGTGCGCAGGCCAGGCCGGTCGCCGGTGTCCACGGCATCGGCGCGCTCTATGGGCCGGTGTGGCGACCGCTCGGGTTCGGCGCGCTCCGCGCTGTCCGAGTAGCCGCGCTGCTGGATACGGATAGGGGTCCGCGGCTGCCGCCACAGGTGCTGGGGTGGCGGCTTCAGTGTGGCCTGACCCTCCCGGGGCCCGGGCAGAGACAGAGATAGGCTCCTCTCCGAGGGGAAGGCCGGGGGCTCCATGACGCCGGCCCCCACCAGAGCCCAGGGAGACCCCGGCCTCTCCAAGCTGCACCCCGCTCAGCGGTGAGCCAGCCGACGCGCCCCAGTCCCCGCAGGCGCGCCGGGCCTCGGTGGGGCCATTGCGTCCCGGGGACAGACCCGGGGGCGCTACCGGCCGATCGCCCCCGGGCCGAGCGCCGAGGCTTCCTGCCGGCGCCTGGCTCTC